AATAGCTCCCATATTAAGCATACGACGTGTCAATTAATTAAAAAAACAAAACTGAAACTAAACTAATAGATTTAAATGTGCAGAAGACTCATTTGGAACTCCAGCTTTCATTTCATTTTCAATACCAAAACCTTGTGTGAAATAGTCTAAAAACATGTACATGGAAGTAAAGATGAAACAGATGGGTAAGGATTTCAACAGTAACAACAGTAGAATTAAAATTCAGCAGCAACAAGTGACCAGCAAACCAATTTCAAACTTAGGAGGTAATATACAGCAACCCAGAAATCAGTTTTGATCGAACGACAAACCAGATTCAGTCAACTTTCGATGAAATTGACTCAAAAATCAGTGAATAAAGATGTAGGATCTCTATGTATATGAATTCAGTCTATATATTTCCCTCTCTTTGGTATGTCTCCCTTCTCTTAGGTTGGTATCTCTCTCAGAAAGTTTTCTTCCTTTCAATCTCCTAAACTCTCCAACTCTCTTCTCTAATCCCCTTTTTCCTCTGTCCTAAGTCCCTCCATTTATACCCAAACACTGACCCTGCCAGCTCGTAAGAGCACTCAGGCAGAATTAAGAAACTAATTCTGCCCATGATATTCTTTAGAACTCCACTAGAGTATGTTTTTTTTCATTAACCCTTGTCTTTCCTTTATTTAAAGTTCTAGCAGGTATGAACAACATATTTTAATCAATTCCTTTTAAGCCTCCCCATACCATCATGTTTTGTTTCCCACTAACACATTAGATTAATGGTTAATTAAGTACTTTACTGACAGCCCACTTAGCAAGACCATTTGCCAAACTTTTAAACCCCCAAAATACCCCTGAAGACCCTGTGACTGCAGCTATAACCAATTCTCCTAAGTTCTGAATGCAACCTTATAACTCACTACTATCTAATTAACATTATCATACCAACACTGAATTCAAACCAATGTCAGATTCATTTCAGACCCTAAACAGTAGGATTCAATTAATCAAACTCAACAACAGCTTAAGCTTGAACCAGGTTGAATCAAATAACAACAAAATAAAGGCCAAGGATTTTAATGATTCAGAACACCCTTACAGGGAATGACACAGTAGGTTCAGGTGACAACCAAAACAACAGTTCATGTAATTTCAAAGCATTTCAACTGACCAAGCAATTCAAAACAATGTGATGACCGACTAAGCGATTCAAACATTGTGATGAACCAATCCTTAATTTTAGCAAACAAACAAACTTAGTTTATCGATTGCGAAATCGAAAATGTTCTAACAAATCGACAAACTGACTAGATTCAACAATTGACTAAAATTAACGAGTCGACACCAATTACCAAACCAAAACAAATTGACGTGACAGGAAATTAGTCCGAAAAGATACATATCGAATGAAGCCTAAAAAATGAGATGAAACAAAGAAAAGAGAAAATGAGAAAAATGAAAGCTAAATGGCAAACTCCAAATGGAAATGGGAAATACCTAAAATGAACGACCAGCTCGACTTGAACAAAATCTGGCACCTTTTGATTTTGGTCGGAATAGGTCTTAATCACGAGTTCTCCAACGAGAACACACGAATAAAACCTATTTCGGCCTCAAATCTTCCATACAGGCTCTCGATTTGAAAACTCAGCGTTCGTTCATTCGAATTGAGATTCGACAAGCTCTGGTTTGATTCGAGTGGAACTAGGGGTGGTTTAGGGATGAAGGAAGTCAGGTGGTGATATGGTGTTAATTTGGGACTGATTGGGTAGTTTAAGGTTTGAGGTCTTGTCTTCGATCTAAGATTCGAAGCAGTCAGCCATGATTCGAGGGTGATGGTTAGAGGGGTTAGGTTGGGGAGGTCGAAGGGAAGCTGGGGTGTGAATTTGGTGGCCATTGGAGTACCGACCGCCGGGTTTTGGGCGGTGGAGNGGAATTGGGTTGTAAGGATTTAGGCCTTGGGGATTTAAATTAATTTTGGCCCAATTCCGATTTCCTTTTCTCTTACTTAATTATTTTCTTCCTAAATTGTCTAAAAAAAAATAAAATTAAAACCAAAATCCCAACTCAAATTATAAAACCAAAATTGACTCAAAATACTAATCCACTTCAAATAATATTTATCACAAGTAATTAAATACTAAAAATAAAACAATCACACAATTTGACATTAAACACTTTAAAAATGTAAAGTACGTTACTTTTTGTGCATTTTTCATTTTTTTTTGTAAAAATAACATTTTACTAAATTAACCAAAAATGTAAAATCAAATCCTAAGTGCAGATGCTATATTTTGGTATTTTTAATTTAAAATTAAATATGCAAACAATCAAGAAAATTGCACAGTAATTTCTAGAATAACACATAATTAAAGCAAAGGCCTAATTTGAGAATTCTTTTGGAGTAATTCGTATGAGGCAAAAATTACATGCTCACAGACTTCATTATCATGTTAATGATACTATTAAGTTAAAGTAAAAAGTCTATAAAGGATGATATGAGGTATACAAATTCCAATTGGAGCTTGTCGCTCGTCGTAAAATAGTTATGACTTNTTCTACTGAGCCGCGCTATAGTAGGCCGGGTACGACACCTATTGTGCAACCACTGATCAGTTGGGTTTACCGAGTTCCACGTGGCCGGGTACGATTCTACCGAGCCTTATGATGGTGAGGTACGTTTTTACCGAGTCCTCTTTGAGGCCGGGTACGATATGATGATGATGATGCCCATAGAGGTGTATGTTTTTAAAAGTTTATGTATATATATGTATTATGCATTTCATGTCAGTATCCCCCAGAGACACTCACATGTTACATGTTGTATCTACTCTATCTCTCTTTACATTAATATTCTTGTTTATACTTTCCTGCCTTACATACTCGGCACTTTATTTGTACTGACGTCCCTTTTGCTTGGGGACACTGCGTTTCATGCCCGTAGCTACCGATTGATAGGTTGACAATCTTCCTAGTAGGCTATCAGCTCAGTGGAGGTGTTGGTGCACTCCACTTGCTCCGGAGTTGCCTATTTGGTCAGTATGCTTTGGATATGTATTGATTGGTATGACGGACCCTGTCCCGACCTTTATGATTTTATGTACTCTTAGAGGCTTGTTGACAGATGTCAGGTTTATGGATACTTATATGGCCTTGTTGGCCTATGTGTTGAGTTTACAAATGGTCATGTCGGCCTTATAGGCCCGTATGTCACATGTATAAGTTTTTATATCATGTTGGGTCGTCATATGTTGAGTATTCCCTTACATTTTATTCTATTTATCTCATGACGGGTTTCTGGCTCATTTACATAAGATAGTATAATAAGAAAGATATGTTATGTTGGTACTCGATTGAGTAAAGCACCGGGTGCCCGTCGCGGCCCTTCGGTTTGGGTCGTGACACAAATCCCGAAATCCACTCAAACCCGGCCCCTGGGCCCACATCTCAGAATCCGACAAAACTAGAAAGTCCTTTCACTCGCGAGTCCACACATACGGAATTTATCAAAAACCGACTCCATTTGACCCCTCAAATCCTCAAATCAAACTCTCCAAAATCCCAAGCCTTAACCCCTCATTTTCACCCCTAATCTTCACAATTACATAATTAAACAATGAGAAATTGCCATAAACACGAGTATTAGGTCTCAAATAACTTACCTTAATGAAAACCCCCTTGAATCCATCTCCAAATCACTCCCAAAAGCTCCAAAACCGAATAAAAATGGTGAAAAAGGCACCACAATTCGCGAAGTGTGAAATATATACATTCTGCCCAGGATTTTTGCACATGCGGCCTATTTCCCGCGCCTGGGGGACTGCACCTGTGGTCAAGGCGCCACGCTTGCGAACTCCACTTAACTCACCAGCTTCCGCACCCGCGCCCCGAGCCTCGCACATGCGGGCTCGCAAGTGCGGTCAAGCCTGCGCACATGCGCTCCATCCTCAGCTTTCCAAATTCCGCATCCACAATTCACCTTCCGTGCCTGCGACCCTCGCACCTGCGGTTCCCACTCCGCAGGTGCGGAAACATCAGAAGCAACAGCTTCAGCTGCGTTATTCCACTTCTCAACTCTCCGTTAACCATCCCGAGCCCTTCGGGACCTCAACCAAACATGTCAACATATCCCATAACATCATTCAAACTTAGTCGAATCTTTAAATCGCTTAAAACAACATCAAAACACCAAATTACCCTCGGATTCAAGCCTAAGAACTTCTAAACTTTCAAATTCCGCAAACGATGCTGAAACCTACCAAACCTTGTTCGAATAACCTCAAGTTTTGCACACACGCCACAAATGGCACCACGAACCTACTCCAACTTCCGAAATTCTATTTCGACCCCGATATCAATTTTTTCCACTGCCTACCAAAATCGCCAAATTCATAACTTTCGCCAATTCATGCCTAATTCTACCCCAGACCTCCAAATCATATTCCGGATGCGCTCCCAAGTACAAAATCACCTAACGGAGCTAATAGAACCATCAAAATTAAATCCGAGGTCGAATACTAAAAAGTCAAAACTAGGTCAAACCTTTCAAATTTAAAGCTTCTAGCTGAGACCATTCTCCTAAATCAATTCTGGATAACCTGAAAACTAAAACCAATGATTCAGATAAGTCATAATACATCATACGGAGCTACTCATGCCCTCAAACAACCGAGCAAAGTGCAATTGCCGGTCGTTACATCTTGATGTCATGCATATAGAGAAGAACTATTTTGACAATTTGTTCAACACAGTAATGGATGATAAGAATAAGACAAAAGATAACTCGAAGGCTAGACCGGACTTATAAGAATATTGCAGGTGACCTGAATTACATTTGCAGTCTGCAAACAATGGTAAGGTGTTCAAGCCCGAGGGCCAGCTACGTATTCACTTTGGAATAAAGACGACAAATTTGTGAGTGGGTTGCAAATCTAAAGATGCCTTAGGGTTATGCTTCGAACCTAGGAAAACGTGCTGATATGATTAAAGGAAAGCTGACTCATATGAAAAGTCATAACTGTCATATCTTCATGGAAACCTTAATCCCTATTGCATTTTGTGGTTTGCTTGAAAATATCTGGAAATCCATCACAGAGATAAGTTTGTTCTTCAAAGACTTATGTTCTACCCTTCATCTGCTCCATTTGCTTCATCACCAGCTGGATCGCATCCATCTAGATTTCAGCTAACCGGATCGCAGCAGTGGTCTAGATCGCATCAAGGGTCTATATCGCAGCAAGGTTTTGGATCACAATCATCTTCATCAGCGACCCCGTCTCCCTCTCTACAGAGTTCGTCTCCTAGCATTTCTAGACTTCGCCTTCGGGATAGTATCAATGAGACAGATGCCCCCTTCTACGCACGCTTCAGATTCATCGGAGGATGATGATCCGGAGGAATTGCAGTGTGATTGTTATCATAGGATGATCATCAGGCCTGAGGGCAATGAGTAAGATTTATTTATTACTTCTTTATTTTTTTTGAATTATAATAGCTACTCTTGTTTATTTAATATAATGTAATTGCTATGTTAAAGGTTCATACCTAATCATCGGACTACAAAGATAATCACTGAAGCTTTTGGCCGGTTGTATGATGCACTCTATGCGACTTGGAGTGACTTTCTACCGGAGCTCGTGGAGCAAATTTTTAACAAATTTAAGGTTTTAATACAATTATTATCTATTTAAGCATTATATTAATAATATTTTCATCTAACGTTACACATTTCTTTTGCAGATTAAGTGTTCCCGGGAGGACCGACATAACAGTGAAATTTGTGCAAATTTTGTGTTCAAATGCCGTAAGAGACTATCTGATTCCTTCTGCTCTGCTCGAAAGAAGAGCAATAAGTCTTCATGGGTTCTACCGTATTTATGGGAGGATCAACCGAGGCAGTGGACCACCGATAAATCCGAGAAGAGAAGTGAATAGGGAAAGAAGGCCCGAGCATCTGAGAAGGATGGCTCCTTACATTGTGTGGTGCAAGGAGCATGGGGACTACGAGGAGACTACTAGTAATTCCTTAAAATATTTACATCTATTTGTATCGAACTATATTTAAATATTTTAATTTAGTTAACACGTTTTATTATATTTGTAGGAAAAATAATATGGGAGGAAGATGACTCATGAAGAGTTCTTCATGGAGACTCACTTCCGGAAGAAAAAGGCACCGACAGATCCATCTAGATGGGTCGAGGATCGAGCAAAGACTGCATATGTAAGTTTCATAACTACTATAACTTGAAATTAATATTTATAATATTATATAGTTAATAAATTTCTATCTTCTAAATAAAGGGTCACTAGAAGGCTAATGTAGAGGAGTACACTCAAAGCTTGCCACTAAATGAGCAAGACGAGCGACCACCCATTTCAGACGAAGAAACGTAGAAGATATAATTGGATGTTGTCGGTGGTCCTATAAAGGGGATAGCATACGGCCTTCCAGAGAGATCATTTCGGCACTACAGGGTTGGATTACAAGGTATAGGGACTTTTGCCTAGGGCGAGGCAATTGATACACTACTAGAAATCCGGGCAAAATCGTCCAAAAAAATGACCAAAATTGGTCGGTAATGGCCAATAATTGTCCAAAATGCGACCATTTACGTGTGGACGGTATTTTAAAGGTCGGAAGGGCATACTGATCAAAGTTGGTTGGAAATTACCCACCAACTTTGGTCGGTCAATTAAATTCAATAAAAAAAATATTGCCAAAAAAAAAACCCGACCAAAGTTGGTCGGTTTTTTCCTATCAAAGTTGGTCAATATTTTAATTATGTAATTAAAAAATACACCATCTGAAAATCGAACCGGGGTCTGTTCTTTGGCAGGATACTATTCTATCACTAGACCATTGGTGTATTTTATTTTAAGACTGTATTTTATTTTATTTATACTCTTTAATTGTATTTTCGCACGAAAATAACCGGCCGAATTAACTGACCAATTTTGGTCGATTTTTTTAATATTAATTTTAATTTATTTTAAATAAAAACTGATCAAAGTTGGTCGGTTTCTTGAAAAATAAATTTCGCGGGAGTCAAACATAGTTTTCTGCTTTTTTGCGCCAAAGAAAATCGACCAAAGTTGGTCAGTTTCGTAAAAAAAATTAAAAAATAAAATATTTTGAAACACTGACCAACTTTGGTCGGTTTTTTGGCCGGTTTTGACCGTCCAAAATTGGTCGGTCGACATTTTTACCAAATTTTTAGTAGTGATAGGTCGACTCTCTCGTCTATGGAGAAGAAGATCGCAAAACTGACAGCAAAGCTTGAAGAGACAAAGACTAGAGAACAAAAGAGAGATAAACAATTAGATACCCTTCAAGTTCAGCTAGAAAAGAGGGACCAACAATTTAATATCCTTCAAGGTCAGCTAACCAATCTTCTTGTTAGTGGTGCTTTCCCGATTCCCTGGTCTCGACAGCCTTCCCCAGATGGTAATTCTTCGAACCATGCCGACGATGAATGTTATAGTAGTGGAGATGAAGATGATGTAGTACAAAATACTTATTGACTGATGTTTGAATTTTTAACTTATGAAACGTTTTGTTGTTAGGTATGATGTTTTGTTAATACAGTTTAGTGGAGATGGAGATGGAGATGGTGATAATATTTTGTTAATAAAGTTTTGATAATTGTTATTGTTATTGGTTGAATGACAGCACTGTAATGTTTCCATTATAAGTGATTGGTTATTGGCAGGTGGTGCAGCTATAAAATAGCTATTTTCGGGCACAAAATTACCCAGAAAATCGATCGACTTCGGTCAAAAATGTTCATATTAATTCCTAGAAAATCAAATTACCGATCGATTTCGATCGGAATTTATGATTTTAAATTTTAATTATTTAAATAATACCGATCGATTTAAGTCAAAATTGAATACTTTTTAAAAAAATGAATAATGAAATTTCAGAACGACTTCGGTCGCTAATTTAAAAATAATTAAAAAATATTTTTAACAATACCGACCGAGTTTGGTCGGTAAAATTAATTTGTGTCAAACTACGTTGACAGTTACCGATCGACTTTGGTCGCTCCCCGTTTACGACCATTATTTTATCGACCAATTGAAAACGGTCGAAAATCAATTAATTTTTCCTGGATTCCGACCAATTTCGATCGATTTTTGTGGATGCTTTTTGGCAGTTTTTTTAGTAGTGCGAGAGTAAAGATCAAAAGTAATAAAAACGATAAACATAAAACAAATTGAATACAACGACATACTTGGACCTTTTCCCAAATGCTAATACAAGTCATGTTTTACTCTAATCCTAACATTTTATAGATATCTAAATTTCCATATTCATGTCTGCAATCCCTTAGCGCTCCTTCATCTTATAGTACTTTTAGAACAAAGAGGGAGTAGACTATGGGTGTTTATCGGGCGGGCTAGGACGGACTGAACGGAAAACCCCCCAGCCCGTTCGGTTAGCGGGCGGGCTGTTAGCGGGCTGGGGATAACGGGCTGTTATAGGGCTGGAATTTTTCGGGTTTTCATGGGCTCGTACGGGTTAGGGCTCACACGGGTTCGGGCGTGCCGAGCTCAATTTTTTTTATTTATTTAAATTACACCAACAGCTCTCCTAATTAAAGTAATTTCATCTCTAAATAATTCAAGGTCACTCTTCACAATCAAGTTATAAATATGACATGCACATCTAACATGAAATATTTCAGGAATTGGTGGGTGTAGATGCAATTTTAATATTGTAATAGCAGCAGTGTTGTTAGAAGCAATATCAAATGACATACACAAAACTTTTTCTGCAAGATTATAAAATATAGCAACTTCATGTATATTATTACTTATAAATGCACCAGTATGACTTTGATCTTCATCATATTTAAAAGCAATAATACGTTTTTGCATACAAAAATTATTATCTATCCAATGGCATGTAACAGTCAAATAATCATTTCCATTCACAGCACGACCAATATCAAAAGTAAGAGAAACTTTACAAGGAAGACTTGCGGACAAATAACGTATATATGTCTGATATTGTCCAAAAAGCCTAAAGATATCAGCTCTACAAGTACTTCTAGGAATACCTTTAAACATAGGGTTATAAATTCTTTGAATATAAGTAACAAGATACGGTGAAGAAGCAAAACTAAAAGGTAAACAACCTAAAACAATCATTTTAGCTAATTCTTCCCGATCTTTCTTAATATCGTATTTCCCAAATAACCCACCAGTACTCGGGTTAAGTCTTTGTTGCCCAGATAACTCATCTACTCCCCATTCAAGAGGGTGTTTCTCTTCCATATGCCTACGAAGTTGACCCGTTCCCCCTCCTTTACCGGGCTCATGTTTATAATGTTCACTACAAATTTTACATTTTACATATTTTTTTTGATCTTCTAGTCTTTCAAAAAACATCCAACACTTACTTCTTAATCGTCGATTCTTCTTAATAGGGAGAGGAGGCCTACTTGTTGCACCTGCACCCCTAACATTTTGAGTTTGACTAGCATTACCAGGTGTAGGTGGTGGTGTGTCAAGATTATCGGGTGATTGAATATCATCTAACAAAGCATCTAAATCATCATCTACACCATAATTTTCTTGCATTCGCTCATAATCTACATTTAAATTTTCAGGTGAACTTTCAGAAATATGTGTAAAGCTACTAGAAGAACCAACACCACCTCTTGTTCTTTTTGAAGTTTTCTTACTACCACCTCTAGTGCACGCTTTTTTGGCCGCTCTAAGTAAATCCATTATATAAATTAAAGTAAGAAATTAAAGTTATAAATTAAAGTAAGAAATTAAATTAAGAAATTAAATTAAGAAATTCAAGTAAGAAATTAAATTAAGAAACTAAATTAAGAAACTAATTAATAAAATAAGTGTACACCAAATAAGAGAAAGAGATGGAACGAGTATACCGGGATTCCTTATGCCGCACTAATTTTGAATTTTTGATATCAAAATTCAAACTTCAATTAATAGACCGAAACTTGATAGTTGATAATACTTGAATACTTGATAATTGATACCACACTTCACTT